TGCCTCAACGCCGCAGTGTTGTTCCAGTTGGTCAGCGCTAAAGCCTAGATCCTCTGAGTATCTCCATGACTTTGAATCCAGTCTGGATTCTAACTATTATCTCTGTCTTCCAGGAAACCTGTGTCTCCTCTGAGAAAGCTCTGGAAGAGCTAACCTGCCGAGCCGACCCTCTGAGCCAAACCCTGAAGATCCCTCTGAGAAACCTCAAGCAGCTCAGGACTGAGCTGGGACTTCCAAGCCAAGGTCTGTTCTAACAAGACGTGAGACGCTGAAGCAGCTAACGGACTCTGCTGATGAACCCTTCTCCAGAACCAACAGTGACTCTCCCAAAGTTAACCTCAAGAACCCTCAAGGTACAATCAGTGAACTTCTGGAAGTAAAACCCTGCCAGCAAACCGCTAACTGTGCTGTCTCTCACGCAGACTCCGTTGAACCAGTATCCAGGCCCCGAACCAGAATCAGTACATTCTGTGTGTTTGTGCTTTAATAAACTGTTGAACTCTTCATCCTTGTGTCCGTCAGTGGTGTTCTGCATAACTGGGTCGCCTTCAGTGAACCCATCATGACAGGGGAATGGAGGATATCATGCCACCATGGGCTGCTGCCCCTAACAAAAACCGCCACTGATACAGATTCCACTGTAAAGTGCAGGGTTTGGGTTTTAATTTGAAAGGTAGCTTGTGTTGCACTAGCATCAGTGAGTTTGTTTTTCTTAAATAGCATTTCATTGATGATCAACCGTGTAAACTGCAAATAAAATATAATAAAGCAGGAAGTATGATTGTGATATAATAATATAATAATTTAACTTTATTGATCTCACTTTGGAGAAATTTACCTCTGCATTCAACCCACCCCCCCTGGCCTCAGTGGGCTGACACTGTTGGGTGCCTGGGGAGCAGTGTGGGGTTAAGGGTCTTTGCTCAGAGACCCAGAGTGGCAGTCTGTGGGAGTGGGACTCCAACTGAGAACCTCAGGATTCCTAGCTCTTTGCCCTAACCACTAGGCCAGCACTACCCAGAAAAAAACAAAAGGGGCTGAATAGTTTTTAAAACATATCTGCACTGCTGACAGTCAGCATTTGATGAGTCAGAGACATACTTTGTTGTCCAGCCTGGATGGAGCTCCTCACTGAATGGATGTAGAGTCTTTAGTAAAAGACTTAGACACCCTGTCTGTAAGAAGGAGGTTACCGCAGGTCATTCATACCTGCCGCCACCAGACTCTATAATACTGCACTATAACCACAACTAAGTTTTTTTTATTTATTGACTGTGCAATATATGTGAATAGAATAGTCATAGCACTAACTCACCGTTGTTCCTTACCTACTACACTTTAATGTAAAAGTCAAATCCACCTATATAAAAGCCATCCTGATTGTACATATGTCACCTTAAATCTCTGTGCTACTCCCTGGTATTTTTTATTTTTATTTTTACATTGTGTGTGATACATGTACACTTGCACCTTAATTCTTATTCTTAACTTGATATACTGTATATACAGTGCTTGCTTGTTTATTCTTAATGCACCTTTTTCCTCCTTGTTTGCACCTTCTTCTTTAATTACAATGCCGATATGTGACCAGTGAATTTCTCCGCTGTGAGATCAATAAAGCTCATCTAATCTAATCTAATAATGTTTTTAGGAGCCGAGCAAGTGTGGAGTAAATGGACCAGCACTTCCTTAGATCCAAGTAGCAGCTTTCAGTTACACATGAAGGGTAAATCTAAAGGTGGACGGGATGTTGTCAGTTCTTCCTCTTTGCACTACCTATTCAGTTTATAATATGGTGAGATCAGTCCCAGAGTCATAAAATGGAAATGGTCCTGCAGCATATAGTGCAGGACCAATAAGGCCTCGAAATCATAACCATAAAGCTCACCTGACACGAAAAAAAAACAGCTGGAAAGCTGGAACTAAAACCAGTTCCTTAAGAGCTGACAGGCTAGTATCATTGTTTGAGAAGCTGTTTGGAACATGCAGCAAAGTTGTATTCACACCGGTGTAAAAACATTTTCTCTTTTCTTTCAGTTTTTGATTCAAGGCTTTCAATGTTCCCCTTATTTCCCTCAAATTTTTACACATGCATCATTATAAAAATACAAACATCAACTCGGAAGCTTTTTACCTGGACTTTATGGGACATGATCCATGTCTTGTACATTTTGTGTGTGTCAGGGCTCCTGTCCTGTCTTTTTCGCGTTTCCATCTTTAAGCTCTAACTGCATTTGTTTTTTACACGCATGCGTCATAGCGTCGCCTCTAAACACGCATGCGCGACACAGTATCACAACAACAATAGCGGCGTACTGTGTTGAATGGTTGCTGCTAATGCTACTCACCCTGCTGTCGGGCTTACAACAGAATCTTCTTCTTCTGGAATATCTCCAGGAAGAACAGAGCAATATCGACGACATAGTTCAGCACCTGAATTTGACTGAACCACGAAAATGGACCCACAGGGCAACCATGTATAAATATTACTGCGCATGCCCAACATTTCGTCGCCAATTTTTGCTTTGGCACGACAGTGCCACTTATAGGCCTGGCATACATTTTGCAGCGTTTTCATGCATTCGTGTGGTCGATCACATTTATTATACGTCTCCGTCTTTACGACAAACGTTCTGGAAAATATTAGCGTTTCGTGTTCGTTTTGACTTTGTGTGGATGGGGCCTAAACTGAGCCAGGGATTCAAACAGGAGGTTTGGATCCAGTCTCCTTTTGAGGACATTGAAATTACTCTCTGAGCAAGGGAACCATCTTCATCACGACTCGTTCAAGTACAGCAGGAAATCTGAGTGGCAATCAGCATCTCCGTTCCCCTACACCGTCCGAGTTCTGGGTAAACCCTGTCCGCCCTCAACCAAGTCAGACAACCTCTGGAAAACCAACACACAGATTGGAGTAAAGGATCATTCACTTCTCTGGAAACGTGAGTCAACAATCAGATCCTCTGCTTCACATCAACGAATCAAATTTGCCACTGAGCCTGAACTAACAGTCTGTCTTCCCCTCATCTTCCATTTCCGGCCGAGCAGAGTTCAGAGCAACTTTGCACCGAGCTTTACTTCTTCAATAAAATCCGTCAAACTTTTCATCCGTTTCTCTCTGTTTGGTTTCGCTGCATGTGGGTCCGAGCCTTAGATAAATCATGACTGTGGGTATTCGGTTCCCGTTCTCTTACAAACTACTGCGATAAATGTCAAAGACTTTGTTTGTCTTTTGTTCTTGAATCTTTTTAGTTCAAGCCCTCTCATAGTGAAGGATTTTTGAGCCTACCTCATATGTTAGACAAGTTCTATTTCACTGAGTTCTGGCCTTAATCCAAATTCTGTTGAATTTCAGAAAAAAATATTCCTGAATTAACAAGCAGGTAAATTATTTATTCAAATAGAGTCAGTTTGGTTTAATAATCTTGAAAATAATTTGAATTATTATTATTTGGAAAAATTAAAAAAACAAAAATTAGTGAAAAGTCCCTGCAATCATTTATCCTACAATAACTTGTATATTAGGGGATTTTTTTTTAAATCATGAGACTCGAATGGATGTTAACCTAACTATACATAATATTTTTTATGGTAACATTCCTATAATTCTCTTCTTTTTGTCATGCACTTAAAGAAATTGCAGTCCGTCCTGTCTAATCTTTGCTTCCTATCTTTCCTTCCACCAGAAGCCTGGATCCTCCTGAATGCAGCAAACTGTTTAACGGCCATCACTGTGTGCAAACAAACCACCTTGCTTCCCTGCCAGCAACAACCATTAAGGTCTCCAATCCAAGCTTTTCTCTGGCCATAAGAAGGGGAGCTATAGAAAATGAGTGTGGAGGAGAGGGGCAGACTAAGGGTCAGTAAGGGTTCATTAAAGTGGAGACTTGACCGTGGAGGTGTTAGAGGGGGCCTGAACAGCAACGTTCAGCCACACTCACAGGCATAAACCAGAGTCCTTAAAAGAAGGCAGGCCTAGGGGGGGATATAAAAAGTGAAACCAGTTGCACATCAAAGCAATCAGCCACGCTAGCTTACGGGGTTTCAAGTTAAAACCCAGACTGAGTCTGGGTGAAGCCGCAGCAGAACTGGGTTATGGGAAGAATCTGTTTAAAAATACATCACAGGCTGTCTTCGCTGCAGAGACGGCAAACAGGCAGAGAGCTGTGCTCCCAACAACACTGACCTACATGTGCTGAAGCAAGCGGAGCCACAAAACAAAAGTGATAAAGAGAAGGTGTCAGGAATAATATCGTTCATCTCCCATCATCTTGTCATTCCTCTCTGTCCTTAGAATAACCTGTCTCACCGTGACTTAAAGCTGCAGGGGCAAACCTCCTTCCCTCTCTTTTTCTCTGCTTCTCACCTTTTAGAAACCATCTTCACTCTCTCATCCTATTTCATTTTTTTCAAATCAATTCTCAAGTAAAGCTACCATCTCTGCTTTCATTTTCAAACTATGTCTTGCATTAAATGGATTCTTTCTTCTCTTCTCACAATAAGGATAAAGCCTTAAATAAACAGTATATTAGATGAGCTTTAATCTGATGTGACAGGTTTACTGCTATTTTAATGTGGATGAATTTAACTAATTTAAATCAATGTATATGAAAAGGAATTGCTTTAGATACCATGCAATACAAAATCCCAGTTGGAAAAGAAACAGGCCCATAGCATCACAACTCCTCCACCGTGCTTATTAGTGCGCATTCATCAATCTACCCCCTGCACCACCTAACCCCTGCACCCCCCCTGAATCCAGAAAACATCTTAAACATGGATTTTTCCTCCTCCAACAGAGTGAATGCTCTCAAATTAATCAGAGACGTTTTCTATGTGTGGCATTATGCTGATGCACTGAAAGATTAATTCAAGGCTTTTCACACATCGTCATTAAAGTTCAAACAAAGGAGGATGATGCTGTACATATAAGCTGGAACTGGCAGAATAATAATTTCTAAGAAACAATCAACAATTGAGAAGTCTTCTAGCAAACCTACCATCCTGACATGGTGAAGTCACGGTACAGCATCCTCTTCCCCACCTCCTTCCTCTGCACTCTCCTCGGGAACTCCAGATGTGTGAACTCGTTTCCCAACAAGTGCGGCTGCATGTAGGCCTTAAAACAAGACAAAAGAAAAGGCTTAAAGTGTAAAAGCCATATCCAAGGGATTAGATATACAATCCCAAAATCGATGATATTATTTCCGTTGATAATAAATCCCCAGTTATAACATCAAACATGATTATTAGGTGTCCAGTAAGGGAGGAGGCGATCAGGAGAAATGTAAAACCTAATCTATGTTCACCACTATGTATGAGGCTGGTATTTGGCAAATGGACTTTTAAATTGTTTCCAATCTGGAAGTTTTGAATAGGTTTAGTATATGAGCATTTCCACCATAATAACCATACTGCATCTTAGTGGTGCATTTGATAAATCACAATTTTTTCTTAGAAAGTCTTGGACATGTTATACAGATGCAAGGGACGGTACTAGCCTGGATTATATCTTACCTGCACAACAGATTCTGTTTTTTTTTTTTTAAATCAATGTTGAATCTTCTTCAACCTCAGAGTTTGGTTACTTGTGGACATTTTTTCATCCTATCTAAATCTTACAGGTTTGATCTAACATTGGCCAGCCCTTTGGAGTCTTTTTGACCTTTCCTCCAGAAGTGAATATATGTGAGGTCAGACACTGACGCTGGATAAGAAGATCTGGTTTGCAATCTTATCTTAAATTCAGAGATGGCAAAAGTACTCACTTTCCGTATTTGAGTAAAAGTACAGATACTTGTGTTAAAAAATACTCTGGTAAAAGTGGAAGAACTGATTAAACTTCTTTACTCAAGTAAAAGTAACAAAGTACAGGCTTGTAAATTTACTTAAAGTATAAAAGTAAAAGTAGAAACCACTTTTTTCATGCCGTTGCCTACATTTTAAATGGATGTCTGCCAATAGGACTAGATCTCCGTTGTGTTCATTTTCAATCATCTCGTCGTCCATGCTACTATGCTAACGCCACCGCCACCAAGCTGCAATGATTTGCCGCAAATGAATACCGCCGAATCTGTCGATTCATCTTGTAGTGGTGCGTCAAATGCAATGTAGATTCCCATCCAATTAGATTGAATTTGGTATTGATGACGTGAAAAATAATAACGGTAACTCCATTGAAATGATTCAAAACTAAAGTAACGAGCCAATTTTTTAAAATGTAAGGAGTAGAAAGTACAGATATTTGTGTAAAAATGTAAGGAGTAGAAGTAAAAAGTCGCCATAAAAGTAAGTAGTAAAGTAAAGTAAAAATATCAGAAAAATCTACTTGAGTACAGTAACGAAGTATTTGTACTTACTTCCCATGTCTGCTTGTGGAGAACCACAGGGTTCAGTGCCAACGCCACTTTTCTATTCTACCATTTATGCTTCCAATGGGTTAAATTATCAGACAGAAGGGATTTATTTTTCCAATGTTATGCTGATGATTTACTGATGACTCTAATAGGTTAGATAGACAGGTATATGCTGAAGACATAAACACCTAAATGACTTTACATTTTTGGCCTTTGAATTAAAACGAAAGAAGTAATCATCCTTTGAGCAGTCATTTAAAAAACTGCTCAGTCTGTCTCTTTATCAGGATGTATTTAACGGGTTTCCAGTAATAATGTGAATAAGCTTGGTGAAACTTTTTAACTAGACATGTCATTTTAGTCCGGTATTAAACAGTTCTGTTATCTAGGAGTTATTTATTTATTCTCTTGAATTTCCAGAGGATTAAAAATATACTGTCTGGGATTAAAATAACATAGGCCTTAGAAATGTTACTTAAAGCTGTACTATGTTTATTTTTAACAATCAGGAAGTCCAATAAATGCTGATGCCTTAAGCTGATCTAAAATGCCACAGCTAGAGAGCTTCTAAAAATGAAAAGAGATTTTTTTATTCAATTCAATTCATTTTATTCATTTTGTGCCAACTAACAACACATGTGATCTTAAGGCACTTTATAGTTCACCAGATCATCCAGTCAGATTGATTCAAAGTTTTCTATCTAAGTAAAACCAGTTGCTTGCATCGACTCATTGACTCAAGGCAATCCCTCACACCAAATATGCATGCAGCGACAGTGGAGAGGAAAACTCTCTTTTAACAGGAAGTCTCCAACAGAACCACGCTCAATGTAAGCAGCCATCTGCTGAGACCGACTGGGGTTCCGCTTCCTTTCACCGGCCTCCTGATAAATCTAGAATCAGATTTAGATTCTTCTTCTCCAATATAATCCAGCACTATAATAGTCCCAGACTCAAAAAGGGATTTTGCTTCCAGACTAAAGGTTTACTAGTGGTTCCTAGAATTTCTCAAACTAGAATGGAATGCATATATTTTACTTATCAGGCTCCTCTCATGTGGAACCAACCTCCAGTTTTAATCTGTGAGACAGACACCCTGTCTACTGGGATTAAAATATTTTTTAAAAGAAGCTTAAAGTTAAGAGCTATCTCCATAGTTATGCTGCTATAGGCTTTAGTTGCTGGAGGACTTGGCTTTCCATTTTTTGGACCCTGCTACCTAGAGGTGATCATGGCATGAGTGTTTTGATTCGATAAATGTCCCGATACTTGGGTCACAATACGATATTATCACGATATTGCAGTATCACTATATATTGCCATATTTTCCCCAGCTATCAAAATCAAATGATGAGATAAAACAGCAAGTGTTGTATATTTTCATCAGAAAATATTGATTAGGTATTATTATCCATGTTGTTTGGGGTTTTCTTCCACTGTGACTGCCTCAAATACAGATTTGGTGCTGCACGCAAAGTTAAAGGGCTCCACAGCGCTTTCTGCCAGAGTGGTGGTGCAGAGGTAGCCCATTTTCCCATCAATGTTTTATGTAAACATTTTATTTTTTTAAATCGATACAAAGAAGTGAAAGATCGATATTATATTGGGCAGCCGAATACCACGATATATCGCAAAAACGATTTTTTCCCACCACCCCTACTGCTACTAGGGATGTTTCGATCCGATATTTTTATGCTGATGATAAAACACTCTGCTTCTGTTAAGCGTTTCTGAAAATCGTTGGTTAATTTTATGTGGGTGAGTTGTTTTCATTCCTTTTGTTGTTTTCTGTTCCCTGTTTTCGCCTTTTCCGACATTCAACAGTATAAAATAAGTGCTAAAAGCTGGTATGATTCATGCTAATAATAACGGTGTCAGCCAATTTTGGTATTGAATCACAAATGTAAAAATTGAATAGGAACATGCCCACCTGCTACATTGTCCAACTGCCCTCCAGTTTAGGATTAATGCACTTTTTTTCTCGCTCTGTTTTTTTCCTTATAGTAACTACATCTTGCCTTGCCCTCTGTTTAACCCTGATACTCTGCTGGAGGGGGGGGGGGGTGTCAGCTGCCAACAACTTGATGTTCTGCTTTTATAGATGACAAATTTAGCCCTGTCTTTTTAATGTTAAACTCCATTTCTCTTCTGGTCTTTGGCTGAGGTTTTACAGCACTGTTCTTTTTTTAATCGCATATAATTGAAAACTGTCTCAGTTCACCTGTTTTTCTCTCCTAAATGAAGCCCTTAATAAGCTTTTGATTTATGATTTGGATTAATTCAAATTATGTAAAAAAAACTTTTCCATCAGAGGAGACTGTCAACTTTGCAAACGTCTGCTTGCTAGAAAGTAGCTAAGGTTGGTTCCGCCTGACGTTCAGGTGGCGCAGTGGTTAGCGGCACGACCCATGTATGGAGGCCTTAGTGCTGGACTCGGCCGACCCCTGTTTAATCCGACCCGTGGTCCTTTGCTGCAAGTCTCTTCCCCTCTCTCATACCTTTCCTGTCAGCCCACTGTCAGAAAAACGAGTGCTGTAAAAACAACAACAAAAAAATCGTTGGTTCCTTCTTACCAGAAACTGCAGGCGCTGTCTTTCTGACTCCGGTGTGAACTCTGCTGACATAGGGATGACTTCCCCAGCTCGTACAATGATTGCTCTGAGGGAGAGGGGCAAAGTACTGTTTAATTAAGCTGACATGGTTTGATGACATGCAAACAACAATAAATACATGCAGCATGTGGCAAACTCATTTTGCTTCATCCAACTGTGCGAGTCACACCTGCTGTCCCCTGCGTTCCCAACGTACAGCTTCCCTTGCAAACAGGCGACCATTAGAGCGGTGCATCCGCCCGAGATGTTGAACGATGCCTTCTCTTTCTCGATCTGCATATCCTGAGACATGATAAAATACACATGATGTAGGCCAAAAGCCTGACCCAATAATTTGTCTCCTGTCGGCACAGCTTTTATATATACCGTAACTTTCGGACTACAAGCCGCGACTTTTTCCCCATTTTTCGACCTTGCGGCTTATATAACAATGCAGCTTATCTATGGACTCTTACAGCTAACGGCCACTAGCGTAATACCTAAATCTATGGATTTTACCATCCACCATGTTGACGTCACATTTGCTTCAACACACAAGTACGGTAGCTAATAGTCCGGCTTATAGTCCGGCACGGCTTGTATATGTACAAATCATTCAATTTAGCTTCTGCGGCTTATATTCAGGTGCGGCTTATAGTCCGAAAATTACGGTGTATACATATATATATATATATATATATATATATGTATATGTAACAAAAGTAATTTCCCTCTAGGATTATTTAAGTATTTCTGATATATATATATATATATATATACCGGTATATATAAATAAAAATTGCAGGTGTATAACTATGCTGGCTACAGATGGATAAATGGAATAAGACCCTTGTCCGATTCTAAACTTTTCCAGACTGTATAATAATCCAGTTCATGCTTGAAATCTGCCATGAAGTCTTTATTAATAGCGGCAGAGTGAGTTCATTTATCAGAGGTACTTTCAGCCAAAACCAAAGACCTAAAGGGAAGGTTTACAGGATCTGCTGGTTATTCCAGCAGCTAATTAGCCCCAATTTATATGGCGCTAATTAACCTGAAAATAATTTAAAGAAAACCATGCGATCAGTCCATTAAGTAGATGAATAATTGCTCTTTAACTCAGTTAGTCAAAGCACCAACATACTATATATCTGAGCCCAGCTACCTTTTTTGGCTTATCTAATCCTTTCATACAATGTCAGTCTTCTCTGACATCTTAATAATTTCCAAACAGAAGCCGTAAGCTGTTCCTGGAATATAAATTGGGCCCCCAGGCATTTCTTTCCCATCTCTCTGTCTCTATCAACAGGCTGGTTGGAAATCCCATGAGACTAGATGAGTCTTTTGAAAGCGTATTGCCCTCTGCACCTCCATCCAGATGAGGTGATTAGGTGTTGCAGTAAAAGAATGTTCCCCTGGACAGGTGTGCAAACAGGCAGTCGGAGTGTGACCGGGTGTATTTCCCTCAGTCTTCACTCCTGACAATCACTGCCAGGTACAGGTCAAGAGGATATGGTGGAGCATTAGGCGGAGGGGGAACTAATGTGTCCCTCAGACTCTATGAATTATGAATCCACAGTGAGCCATGCATATTTATCTGCAGCGCCTCTGGCTGCAGGCGAGGCTTTAATAATGAAAATGCCAGCACAAACATCGACACCTTCCTCCCCACAGGTTCAGGCAGGAACGACGTGACAACAAAGATAAATAACCAGAGGGCAGAGATATGTGCAAATCCCAAATACACTTCGCCCATGCTGCCAGTTCACTGTTTACATACGGCTAAAAGCCTTCATTATTTCTGAGGGAAAAATCCCACAAAGGACTCCTACATTAAACCTACATGGCTGAGTATGAAAAAAAAACAACCTAATAATACTAATACAGGAATGAAGCACGGCAATAAACAATGTTGTCATTTATATTTAATTAAAACCATTTCTTGGTTTTAATTGTTATTCCTATGAAAACAAAATGGTCAAAATATGATTTATTCCCCTAGAAAGGTAAGTATTGGATTCGTCACAGTAAAGATACGAGAAACAGTACAAACAGAAGCCTGCAAAGATATTTATACCTCACAGTTTTGTATTACAGCACAAGCTGTGTTAACATGCAAAGATGTGAAAGAAACTGTTTTAGTCAGATGAGGCAATATTTAAGCGTTCTGTTCAACAGACAAAATGTGGGATTGACAGAAAACCCACACTGCTCATCGTCTTGAACACATCATCTGTGCTCTTTAACACTAAATATACATGCTTATTTGTGAAGCTGATATTCTTTATCTTTCTCCATTAAATGACAGTGCTGAAACCATGATAAGGATGATAAAAACAAACATTAACAATGAATAGCAATGCATGCACCTAACGTGATCTTAAAACATGGCCTCTGAATGCATCAACGAATCAGCAAATTAAACAAAGCTGGTCGATGAATCGGTCCACCTCTACAGGAGGTGCTTTATATCTGCCACCTTATGCCATTCAAAACAATTGTTTCACTGTGGAAAAGTTGACCTAATACTAGGCCCTGGTGTGAGAGACACCTACTGGCCACAGAAGGTCACTGCGGCATATGTAGACAAACTGGCAGACTTGATATTCTCATATCACTATGACAGGCTTGATCTAATATTCCAGGGAGATATTGGCCAGATACACTTTACGTTGAATATAAAGTTCTGATAATGACTCAATAATGAGCTCAACTCTTTTCTTATGATTAATTTAATCACAAAGGTGGGATTTTCTTAAAATGTTTAGACATTTTGCAGAAGCTTGAAAGCTTATGTTGTTTGCAAAACTTCCTTTGGACTTTTCAAGGAAATCAAAAAATCTATGAGCCCTAAAAATCAGGAAATGGGAAGAAATATGTTATGGAACAGCGAGGGGCAGAGAAGGAGGCTGTCAGGAAATGATGGAAAACCCTGACGAAAAACGGTAGTGGCAGGTAATTAACCGAATTAATCATTTTTAACTAATTAGTCAAAGCTGAGACATAACACAGGCAAGTGAGGCAGCGCTCAGGAAAGTGGTTTGGAAAACTGGTTAACACCGGATTATTTAAAGCCGCTAAAATAACATCCAGTCATAGCCAACCTCAACATAAACTCCAGATAAAGTGCTGTACTTCTGACAGCAGATGGTGTTCACACCATCCTAAAAATGCAAACTTTCAGCTATTGGATTTGGATTTAATGTGACAGAAAGCAGAAATCAGTGCCAACTTTTAAAGTGGATGATTAAGAAAACATTTAAAAGGTCAAATCTGAAAAACCTGCCATACCTTAATATTCGACCCCTTTATTTTGACACCCCTTAAAAAACGCACAACATATCTTGCTCTTCATTCATTGTCTATTTACTGTTAATTAAAAAGGTGACCTAAATGGGTTTAAAATGCTGCAGGTAAATTCAGTACCTCTCCACTGTTTTTCGGGTTTTTCCTCAGGTCTCCTCCCAGTTGATGTGCTTGGAAAACCTCAAAACAGAAGCTGGACAAAAACCAGCAAAACCATGTGAACCTGCATGATGTGCATGAAGGAAAACAATGATCGTCACCCGTCCCCATGGTGAAGCATGAGGGTGGCAGCATGATACTGTAGAGTCTCTTAGTCAGAGACAGAAGAGTTGATCAGAAATGATGGGAACATGGGTGGAGCGGCTATATTTAATCAGAAATTCATGGCGGGACTCAACTTTTCAACAAACTTTCTCTGTTTTTTTTTTGTTTTTTTTAATGTGCTGGAGCTTTTCTGCTGAACAGAAACAAGCAAACATTTTAATCCGTAAATGTGCAAAGCTGGTGCCAAAAAACCTGCAGCTGACATGCTCTGACAGGTAGTTTAACAGCAATGTTTATAACTATGGAGGTCCAATCCTGCCATAATCAAAAATACATACAGAAATATAAAATTGCCTGAAAACTAGCTAATAATATGAATTGTGAGCCATTAAATGTGACAAAATAATAATAAAGATAAGATATTTCTTCAACAATTGATCAATAATTCAAATAAAATATATATTTTAACCTCCTCTTTTATTATGAAATTTCTTCTTTTTTTTACTCGTTTATTGTATTTATTGTTTCAGAAGTATCTTGCTTTTATTACTTTGTCACATTTAAAGGTTAACAAATTCATATTTTTAGCTACTTTTTCAAGCAATCTTATAAGGGAAGTGGTGGCCTAGTGGTTAGGGCATAGGGCTTTGAATCCTGGGATTTGAAGTTTGATCCCCCACTCCCACAGACTGCCACTCTGGGTCCCTGAGCAAGACCCTTAACCCCACACTGCTCCCCGGGCGCCGTACAATGGCAGCCCACTGCTCCCCAAGGGGATGGGTTAAATGCAGAGATAAATTTCTCCAATGTGAGATCAATAATGTTCAATTTATTTATCAAATCCTTTATTTATTTCTATATGTATTTTTAATTATGGCAGGATTGGTCCTCCACAGTTTACTGCCTTCTAGAATTGAGGACAAAATAATTTGAACAATTCAATTTTCTGTTTAAAGATGCCACATTTAATCTTGTTTTTTATTTTACTGGAGCCTCTCCAACATGTTTCTGTGCCACACAACTAACTTCCTAACAGCCTGATTAAAGTTGAGAGGATTTATGGGGCTATGAGGAAAGCAAAAAATGCAATGCAAGAGTTTTTGTTCCAAGAAAGTTAGGGGTTTAAATAACTGTATGGAAATGGTGTGTGAAATTTAAATGTTAAGGTTAGGAACTAAGTTATCAGTGACCACAGAGAGAAAAAAAAGACTTTGAAGAGGACACTGGAAACAGCCTAAATGTTCAAAATCTGTATATATTGTTTTCTCAAACTATCATATTTCTGTGACGTAAGACGTTAAAACATGACTGTGACAATGAAACAGTACAAATAACTGCATCTTGAACAAAGACATTATAAATTACAAAACAGGAGCAAATCCATCAACACGGCTTTGACTACATTTATTTATCATTAATAGGTCTAATATTTGCATAAACTCTGACTGCTAATTAATCCCCTTCAGCAATCTTTTTCTGTACAACCAATCTGGTAAAAAAAAATTAATAAAAATAGTATACTGCCACCCAGTGGTCAAGATACGAAAACACCTCATGTCTCTGTGCCATTTTAGAGCAGAGCTTGTTATACTGCAGGTTTTTTTTTTATTAATTTGGTGGGAAAGTTAGCTGAAATGTTTAGATTTATTATTTTTATTTTGTATCTGGGCTCTTAAAATTGGAAAAATATTAACACTGAGCTTCACAGGAAAATATTTAATTTCAAGTAGCAGCTGAAAAACCTGTAATCCTCTTTCTAGGCTGCAGCATAGCAACACTGTAGACCTCATATGTACCTTTGCAGCAACATGATTATGATTTTTTAAAGGTCAAACACTGTCGCTGCTATTTTCTATTTCCACCACAGGAACAGCAAACAGTCAGACGGCAGAGAGATGAACAAAGCCATAAATACAATAAAGTTTGAGAACATAAAAAATAATACAATACAATGATTTGCTAAAAAAGCAAACGAAATAAACAAACCAACGGAAGTGGATTATTCTGATTCATTAGAATCTATCATGATTTGTGTAAAAGATGAGCCTCCCAGTAAGGCTCTGTTTACAAGAGTGGGGCAGCGTTTACTACTTCATCAACAACTGCATGAGCAAATAGTCCAACCATTTTACAAATGATGTTTATCAACATAAAACTCCATAGAAATGAGAGATTTTCTTATCTATAGTCTGTATTATTACCTAAAAAACTGAATGGGGAGAAATATCTCCACTAAAAGAGTCAAGGCTGAAAACTGCATTAAAAAGCAGCAACCTTCCACAGCTGAGGAGGCACTGCATTAAAAACCAACATCATTTTGGAACAACTATAACCACAGTGCCTCTGAAACCATTGTCAGTTAGCTATATATATATATATATATATATATATATATATATATATATATATATATATATATATATACTGTATATATATATATATATAAATATATATTAGGGATGGGACAATTTATGAAAACCGTCCGAACCGTTCGGTTCAACGGTCTCGGTTCGATTCGCGTGTGTTTCGTTCGGTTCATGCGCTGCTCCTTTTTCTCATAGGTGAAGCGTTTTTACACTCCAGAGCAGAAGGTGGCGGTACTGCGACAAAAGTCAACCACCAGTAGTAAACAAGAAGAAGAAGAAGCGAAGCAGCGTAGCCGGGTGTAGCAGGGAAAAAAGCGAGTGGGAAAGAACAGAAGTTGGAAGACGCGCCAGCAGCACTTTATAGGTCTGCTGTATGGGAGCGCTTTGCATTTAGAGTGACCTACGATGACGGCGGAAAGAAAGTTGTGGATAAAAGTGCAACAGTGTGCTAGCATTGTGCAACACGTTTTGTTTACGCTAACAGCAACATGACCAACATGTCATGCTAACCCCGAAATCCCTCATACTCCGTCAGCGCTCCGTTCCGCTGCGCTCCAGACCGGCTGCTCAAAGCAAAGCCTACAGCCTCCACTGAGGCTCCCGTCCGCTCCCCTCTGAGTCCCTTGGAGATGGTAGAGAGCATGCGCGAGATCATTAAATTAAAAGCAGCAAAACATGCGGAAATGATCCATGGTTTCTGCGGATCATTAAAAATAATTACAATCCATTATTTTTTGGGGGATGTTTTCATTAATTTCATACATTTTTATGGGATTTCGGTGTAAAAATCAACATATACCGAATCAAACCGAACCGAAAGCCGTGACCAGAAACCGTGAATCGAACCGAACCGTGGATTTTGTGAATCGTTCCACCCATATATATATATATATATATATATATATATATATATATATATATATATATATACACTACCGTTCAAAAGTTTGGGGTCACATTAAAATGTCCTTATTTTTGAAGGAAAAGCACTGTACTTTTCAATGAAGATAACTTTAAACTAGTCTTAACTTTAAAGAAATACACTCTATACATTGCTAATGTGGTAAATGACTATTCTAGCTGCAAATGTCTGGTTTTTGGTGCAATATCTACATAGGTGTATAGAGGCCTATTTCCAGCAACTATCACTCCATTGTTCTAATACAATGTGTTTGCTCATTGGCTCAGAAGGCTAATGGATGATTAGAAAACCCTTGTGCAATCATGTTCACACATCTGAAAACAGTTTAGCTCGTTACAGAAGCTACAAAAGTTCTTGATCAGTTCGAGTTAATGAGTCGATGCAATCAACTGGTTTTCCTTAGAAAACTTTGAATTAATTTGACTGTATGATCTGGTTGAACTGTAAGGTGCCTTGAGATGACGTGTTGTGCATTGGCACTAAATAAAAAAGCTGAATTAAATTTAATCAAGCCCTTACAGTAACTCACCATATCTTTGAAGGCGTTTTCTATAGCTCCAATAACCAGGCTCTCTTGTGAAACTTTTTTTTCAGTGAAGAAGCGCGTTGGTTGGGTGCTGGGGGAACCAGGTGCCCCTGCAGCACCGCGTAGTGATGTGGCCCTTGATAGGGCACGGTGGGATGTTGCGGAGAGGAGGTGATTGACAGGTTCATCATCCAGGCATGTGGGTGGCAGCAGGTTGGGTGCACACAGAAACTCCATCACCTCCTGGAGGTGCAGGGCAATGTGATGATGGAGAAGACGGGACGCCATGACAGCAGCTCCAGAGCCGGCGTGACCGTCAAATAACGCCCAGTAGTGAAAGGTTAGGTCCTCTGAACCATCCTGGATGTAAGGAAATAGAAATATACATTGACAACAGCAATACCTGGGAAGTTAAAAAAAAGTCACATTTTCAACAAGTTAATTCGGTATTTTTTTTAAAGCTAATTGGATGTACAGCAATTCTAATTAATCATGGTTGTGGGGTACCAGAGGGTAATAAGAATACCTTTTGAAAAGAAAAACAACAAAACATTTTCAACCCATAAATAGAAATGTGTTCGATTTTTTTTTTATGAAAGAGGGATTTAATCTCAGACTTCCTGGAGAAATTTCTATTAGGATTTCAGAGCATCTTTAAGAATACATACCAATATGAATACATATGAATAAGTAATTCCTGCTATCCTTTTTTGCAGGATTTGTTTTCTTCTTTTAAAGATTTTTTCAGTAGGTTTTTCTAGGCTACATTATTCTGCTACACAGTACAGTTTTACTAAAAGGAACACAAAAATTAACACAAAATCTAAATTTCCACCATAAATTTTCCAATAGGGGATGGTCCTTTCACTTAGATGTCACATAAATAGAGTGACACATCACATGCTTTCTAGAATGCAAAGTAAAGCAATTCTGCCTTTTCAACATAAATGGTAAATTGCCTGTAATTATATGGAACTTTTTCAAGTCAAGGGACTTGACCAAAGTGCTTTACACAACTTTCCGTAATTCACCCATTCACACACACACACTCACACTCACACACCAATGGTGGCAAGCTACATTGTAGCCACAGCTGCCCTGGGGCTCACTGACAGAAGCGAGGCTGCTGTACAATGGCGGCATCGGGTCCTTTGACCCCCATCAGGGCAAACTCCTTCATCCAACGCCACTGTGGTATCAGTAGGCTGTCGCACACTGCTGTTAAGCTAGCAAAAAAGTTTAATTTTGAAAATGGAAATTTAAACGTTATATTGAAAATTTCTTTGAGACACCAAGCTCAATTGTACACATAAAATGTAGACAGATATAAAAGAAAATCGTCATAGACTATAACAAATACGATACACATCCTTAGAGGAGAATCTTTAAGGAAATAAAACCCCTTCTGAAGAAAAACATTAACAACAAACACCCTTAGAGAAAGTAAGCCAAATCCAAAGAAAATTTTTCAAGTCTAAAAACCATCTGAAGGTTAAAAAAAATTACTTTAAGAACACTTTGACTAAACTTTAAAAAACTACTTAAAGCAGAGCATAAAGTTGAGATCTTCAATCCTCCTTTCTTATGTAAAATTCTTGAGAAAGTAGTTGCCAAACAAGTGTGCGATCACTTCCACCATAATGAACTTTTAGAAGAGTTTCAGTCTGGCTTTAGAGCTCATCATAGCACTGAAACAGCTCTGGTGAAAGCCACTAATGATATTCTCATGGCCTCAGATAATGGACTTGTATCTGTGCTCGTCCTGTTGGATCTTAGTGCTGCATTTGATACAGTTGATCATAATATTCTTTTAGAAAGACTTAAAGACTTTGTAGGAATTAAAGGAACAGCACTAGACTGGTTTAAATCTTATCTATCTGATCAATTTCAGTTTGTTCACGTTAATGATAGATCTTCAACATGCTCAAAGGTTACCTGTGGAGTACCACAGGGATCAGTGCTAGGACCAATTCTCTTTGCTATATATGCTCCCAACGGTAGAATTATTAGACAGCATGGGATTAATTTTCACTGTTATGCTGATTATACCCAGCTATATCTGTCTATAAATCCAGATGAAGCTAACGCATTACATAGATTACAGGCATGTCTGAAGACATAAAAACCTGGATGACTCTTAACTTTCTCCTTCTGAATGCTGAAAAAACAGAAGTTATAGTCTTTGAAAAATAAGCTGATTAGTCAGTCACTTCATTTGGATGGGATTAAACTGATTTCAGATAATAAAGTAAAAAATCTTGGTGTTGTTTTTGATCAGGACCTGTCATTTAAATCCCATATCAAAGAGGTTTCTAGAATTTCCTTCTTTCATCTGAGGAATATTGCAAAAATGAGAAATCTCCTGTCCAGGGGTGATGCTGAGAAACTAGTCCATGCATTTATTACTTCAAGGCTGGACTATTGTAATTCTTTACTATCAGGAAGTCCACAAACTGTAGTTAAAAGCCTTCAGCTGATCCAAAATGCTGCAGCCAGAGTTCTGATGAAAATTAAAAAGAGAGATCATATCTCTCCTATCCTGGCTTCTCTTCATTGGCTTCCTGTTAAATCAAGAATAGAATTTAAAATCCTCCTTCTCACATATAAAGCATTAAATGACCAAGCTCCATCTTATATCAGAGATCTGATTGTTCCTTATGTTCCTAACAGAGCACTTCGCTCTCAATCTGCAGGTTTACTAGTGGTTCCTAGAATTTCTAAAAGTAGAATGGGAGGCAGATCTTTTAGTTATCAGGCTCCTCTCCTGTGGAACCAACTACCAGTTTTAGTCCGTGAGGCAGACACCCTGTCTACTTTTAAGGCTAGGCTTAAAACTTTCCTTTTTGATAAAGTTTATAGTTAGAGTGGCTCAGGTTATCCTGAGCTATCTCTATAGTTATGCTGCTATAGGCTTAGACTGCTGGAGGACATAGGGACCCCTTTTTCATCATTCTATCTCTATTCTCCCACTCTGCAGAATCTGTTAGTTCAATCTCTAACGTTCTGCTCTCTCTGCTTTTTCTCATGGTAGCTTCTTCTGGTCTGTTCCTGTTTGGCTGTGACTCCATCCTGGAGAGCAACATCAACTGTGCTGCTGCATTCAAAATCTTTGTTTCTAGATATCGGAGATCTGCCTGTTTTTCAGTGTAGTCCTATTTCTCCGACTGTGATTGGCTGGATGTGCTCTCTTCATCCTCTGACATGGCAGCTGGCTTGGAGCTCGTCTGCCTGGCTGTGTGTTTCCTGGATGGGGCCGCCTTTTCCAGGTGCTTTTAGTATATCTGCTTCTGTCTCCTTGAACCCCAGTCGGCCTCAGCAGATGGCCGCTGACATTAAGCCTGGTCCTGCTGGAGGTTTCTTCCCTTTAAAAGGGAGTTTTTCCTCTCCACTGTCACAACAAGCATGCTTAGTGTGAGGGATTGCTGAAGAGTCAATGAGTCGATGCAATCAACTGGTTTTCCTTAGATAGAAAACTTTGAATCAATTTGACTGAATGATCTGGTTGAACTGTAAAGTGCCTTGAGATGACGTGTGTTGTGAATTGGCGCTATATAAACTGAATATAGATAAAATATCTTTAGTAGCATACAGTATCTGACATTGTCAGTAATATTGAGCTGATATTAACAGCCGATGATGCAGAGGAGGTTGGCCATGTGGTGTTTGTTTAGGCAGGTGCCAATAATCATGATGCAGCATTTGACTATGGAATGTTAAACCGAGGAAGAGAAGCACTTTTTGCTGTGATAGATTTTTAACAATATGAAAAGGGTAGAATATACACTGGAGAGACTAACAAATAGAAGAGAAGAAATTAAGAAGTTTTTTATTTACATGAAGAAATTAATAGACTTTGGCACTCAGACCCTGGCTGAACGTGGATAATTCACGGGTCAACAGAAGCATTTGGGAAGCTCGAGTCACATTCTGAGAGCTAGGTGAATCTCCTATAGTCAAACAGCAGAAGAATTTAAGAATATTTCTGACAGAAAGGTTCCAGAATAAAAAAGGAATCATAGGTTGGCCATACTTTTCATAATTCTCTCACATTAATGTACAGAAATGACATTTATGGTCAAATAAAACACTTCAGAAGGCTGGGAGCTTTATAAAAGTTATGGGTTATCAGGTCAGCAAATGAGTGTGCATAGGGCTAGAGCAGACAGTTCAGGGTTCGTACAGTTTGTCCATCAAAGTATGAACCTTCTGTCCTCTAATGTTTCTCTCTGCTTTAGTTTGTGTCTCTTATTGCAGTACTTAACCACCCACCCTAGTGTGATGTAACACATGCACTGAAGCTGCATGCTATCCTCTTTGTTGATTTTCAAAGACTGCCTCCCACATAAGGTTTGAACAGTGTCCTGTGTGATTTGGCTCATCCAGGTTACTCCTTTGAATTTGCCGTCTTCACAAATAACAGAAAGTCTAGGAACCTTTGCTGTCCTGACATGAAATACTCTGCTTTTGCATCACTGCTGCTACAAAGCAGCAGCTGAAATTACTGCTAGTTGAAAAAATGACCTTTAAGAACAACCAAACTGCACAGCAGAATGTTCTTGCTATGGTGCATGGGCTAATAGATGTTCTGTTTATTCTCAGCGTAAAAACAAAATATATAGCAGGCAGAAGCGGACAGATGAGTCTATGAGGCGAAAAGAGGCTCTACAGTTCTCATATTGGTCCTCAGGCACTGCAGGAGTGAGTCATGAGAGGTATTTGCTGCTGGCTCTCTGTGAGCTTGTATGAAATAAGGACAAACTAGGAGAAAATAGAATGCAGAGTCACTTTTTTAGTAACCAGAGAAACAGAAAAAAGTCAGAGAAAGAGACAGCCCAGTTATTACGGAGTATATTAAATAATAAACAGCAAGAAGATAAAGACCTTCCACAATGCACCTCTGATTAGAAACTGTTTGGACTTTAAGGAAGATTTAAATGCGAGTACTGCTGACAGGCGATGGGACGTAGATAGGACACGTTGCTCTACTCTCCAATGAACTGCTTATAGGACTGAATGAGGGAGCAGTCAGCCCTGGGGACATAGGAGGGGGAGTTTAAGTCCTGCTGATACCTCGATGCTGCTACTTATAGATAACATCAACTTCCAATAATGTAATTTACTTTAATTCCTTTTAACTTTATTAGCACACAATGATTCACAAGCTTAAGTAGATTGCACTCTAGAATCAACTTTCTATGAATCCGATACTTAGATAGAGACTTCTAAGTTTCTACTCCATATATGAAACACTACGTAAAGGTACATGTAACTGCTACCCAGTGGTCGGTACTAACTTTTTAATCTATTGTTAGACTATGCAAATGCTGTGTCTGCGCTCACGAACACTCACTGACTGACTAATATGTCAATGGACCTAAACATTGTCACTGATTCAACCCCAAACTATTCATCACTTATGGCCACTCATAGAGTGTACAAGGAACCCTGAAATTCAATTCCAAGATGGTCTGCCAAAAGAAAACAGGAGGACATGAGTTACTTGGTTCTTGATGGTTGTTGTTTTAGACCAAACATTTTTCATCACTCCTATTATATTGATGTTATATGGAACTTGAGTGAATCAAGAACAATCCATGTTAGGGGTGGAACGGTTTATGAAAACCGTCCGAACCGTTCGGTTCGATTCGCGTGTGTTTCGTTCGGTTCATGTGCTGCTCCTTTTTCTCATAGGCGAACCGTTTACACTCCAGAGCAGAAGGTGGCGGTACTGCGACCAAAGCCAACCACCAGTAGTAAACAAGAAGAAGAAGAAGCGAAGCAGTATAGCCGGGTGTAGCAGAAAAAAATCAGTTGTTGTGGAGAATTGTGTGGGTATGGCGAGTGGGAAAGAACAGGAGTTGGAAGATGCGCCAGCAGCACTTTATAGGTCTGCTGTATGGGACCACTTTGCATTTAGAGTGACCTACGATGACGGCGGAAAGAAAGTTGTGGATAAAAGTGCAACAGTGTGCAAGCATTGTGCAACACGTTTTGTTTATGCTAACAGCAACATGACCAACATGTCAGGCTAACAATCAACATATACCGAACCGAAAAACGTGACCACGAAGCCGTGAACCGAACCGAACCGTGGATTTTGTGAACCGTTCCACCCCTAATCCATGTACTTCATAAATGTGCAATGACTGGATGTTACAGGAAATGTTACAACAACCATCTGATGAGGTTGTAAAACATAAGACTCTTTTTTTTTCACTTACACTTTCCCGTGGGCTGATTCCCTCTCCATTGGGTAGGGAAGACCTCCTACGGGCGGTTGGTGTTCGGTTTGGCGTAGAACTCTCCAGGAGTCTCATCTTCAGCTTCAGCACCTCACAGCAGGCCTGGTCCTCGTTTAAGGTGCTCTTTCCAGCATTAATCACCCTTGATTGAGACAGGAGAGGGGAGGAACCAACAACAGCAGTATAGAACATCAGAATGATACACTAAAAACACTCCCACCAAAACATTAACACTTTAAGACTCGATAAAATCTGCATGAAGTGGAACTCCAGATGTAATATATTTTCTGACTTTATTAGTTTCGAGATATTACAGATAAATTTAAAATGTGCCATATTTATAGAATTTTAAAAAGTGAACTGAAGTGAACTAAACAATCAAAGATAGATACTTTTGCTTACTTTTACACCTCAAAGGCACATCTATCTTTCTATAATATTAATGCTAACCTTTATCTACTAAATATGGTTTCAGGGCTCTTTCTCCTATCTAAATTAGTTAGATATAATTGCGTTTTCAGAAAATGCAAAATATTTTAGGCTACATCAGGTGACTAAAAGATGCTTAAAATGATTAAAAGTGCTTATACTCAGAATGATACATATCATCTGCTGCTCGGTGACCGGATCTCGATGGGGGCAGTCTCAAAGGAGACTTCTAGACATCCCTCTGCCCACACTTCTCCTCTAGCTCCTATGGGGGGAGACCAGGTATTCCAATGCAAGTCATGAGACATAGACCTTTCTAGGTATTCTGAGTCTCCTTTGGTTGGGACATGTCTGGAAAACCTCTTGACGAAGGGGTTGAGGGTTCCTCTGAAACTCCGCCACCTTACCCGACTCCTTTCGATGTGGAGGAGCAGCAGCTCTACTCCAAGCCTCTCCTGGATGCTCTAGCCCCCTACTCTATCTCTGAAGGTGTGTTCAGACCACACGCGGTGAAGGCGGTGATTCCCCAAGCCCCCCAGGTAGTTACCGCTCTGCATTTCAGGTGCACTGTGCGTACACCCTGGACTGCATCATCAAATAGGAAGAGCTTCAGCTGCGTGAAGCTGACATACTACTGACATTAAAAAAACTCAGCAAATAGACTGAATGCTTATTGCTTCTTTAGTGCAGATTTATACACTTAAAATACTCATTTGGAAAAATAAAATTCATAAATAAAAAAGTATTGTCATGTGTGAAACTGTTGTGTCCAGAGATATTAAAAAAGATTATTTGTTTGGTCATTGAGAGGTCAACTATACCCCATTAAGATCAGATTTGAATCCAAATTATCTAGCCTACTTTTTCAGTTCTACCTAATTTATGCAGGTAAAACTATCATTTGTGCTGATTTGGTTTTTAAGATTGAATAATTTAATAACTTTTGAATCGCCTTGGGGATGCCCAAAAGGCTCTGAAAAAAAGATTCCACTTTGTTTCATCCAGACGCAGCTCTGATTTGGTCAGATTCGGCAGGACTTCCTCACAAATCTATCCTTGCAAAAAGCGGGCAGCGAAAGAGTGGGCTCTGTGCTGGAGGTAAGTGAGGACAATTAACAGTCGTTCTAGGACTAAATTAAAATGGCTTTTTTTAAAGCCACCTTAATACCTCTTCAGAGTATTACTTATTTCTACCTTGTTTAACATTATTTTCTCTGTATTCTATTTCAAGTGAAAAAAGCTTTGCCTACAACCATTCACTGATTGGCTGCCGTTCAACTCGTTTCAATTTCAGCAATCACCGCTCCTCTCTCTCTTTGCAGTGCTGCTGTTTGACAACACCTAAGTTCTATCCAGAAGCTGAACTGAGAAGCTGAACTGCCCTAGCATACACTCTAGGTCTTGACATGAGAGAGACAACAGAATATAATTTGCAAAAAACAGAGAATCCAAACCAGGTGCTTTTCTTCCCTTGGCTGTGCCTGGAGGTCCTGTCTATGAAAGTACAGACTGGATGGCCCCTAGAACCTATTGTCTCTTTACTCCTTGAGCACCCCTCACAGGGTATGAGGGAAACTATAAAATCTTGGCCCTGTCTGGAAAAATCCCACAAATTATTCAACTAAAGTTTATAATTGAATAGGATCTCATATTAGTCAACGATTCTCCCGCTCTTGTGTCATTACATAGTCCCAGAATGATTGGGTATTCATTCAGTACATCCTAACACAGAGAAGCAGAACTATCTATCCCTTAAAACAGGGGTTGATGTTAAAGATTTTTACCACTTGCCCGACATTTCATTTGCCCAGAAACAGTTTTTACTTGCCCAGTATAATGTTTGATAAATATAGTTCCTAATATTCATTTTTGTATAAATATCAATGAAACATGTTTGTTTTTTAAATGTTTTTTGTAATTCAGTAAGTTTCCAGGTTCCTGGTGGGTATATGCATGCGTGAGATAATGAACTCAACCCTACATTACCGTGTTAACATGCTTTTCAATCCTTCCTGCACATTCTTTTGTTTTTTCGTTGCTATTAGCACACAAGAAGAGATGCAACCTAAATAAAAAAAAATCAATCCAGAAACATTACATTTAACTGACATGTACTACAACTGGCAGATGCATCTACAGCTGGGATCTGCTACAGTCATGGAAAAGCACCAGGGTCACATTAACTCTGTTGCCCTGTTGGAACCGTGCACATGCTGAGGCAGGTTTTATAACCAAAGAAACGGAAGGTTAAGCAGAATAAAACTTTACAAAGCAATATCTGCTTTTCTTTTTCATTCATAATCTCTGCAGATAATTTGTCATTCATTTTAGAAATCTGCCATCTGTGATGTTACATATTTTTGGATAAAAAAGTAAATAGCTTTTTGTTCTGGAAGCAGATATCTTTTCTCTCTATGAATTATATTGAAATTCTCATTTATAGCTGCAAGGAAAAGGTCCTATGAGGCAACATGTTCTCTCTATACAGCTGAGTAAACAGTCTGGATGATAAACATGACAGGAAAATTACTGCACCACCATCTCTCCCCCCCGAGTAATGCTGCTTTTAAGTGGTGTTGATGTCACAATATTCTCCACATACCTCTAGTTATACAAGTCACATAGTAGCTGAAAAGAAGACACACTTGTATGTTCTTCAATAATGAGTTTTGGTACAGTTTGTGATTTTGACCTCAGCATCTGAAGTAAGAGTGAAGATCAGGACTAACTCCTAAATTTTTAATAGAGTCCCATCGTAAAAAAAAAACAACAAAAAAAACACAGAACTGTCCCTTTAAGTGGTTAGGGAGCAGGCAGTTATGCAACAATATAAAACACGGTTGTGTTTCACATCCAGTAAAACCATCAGAACCCACTGAGTCTACACCACGTTTTGTAGTTGTGTAAGAGGGAACCTCTGCGTGAAGCAGCGTTCATTTGACCCCTGGAAGATCACAAGTTTAGCAACGGCCTTTTCATCTCCGCTACAAGGGGATGAGCATTCACCATCGACCCGAGACACGCTGAGGCCCAGAGAGCCGGGTCGTCGTATTGAGTTTCCCCACTTCTTCGCCTCTAGGGCTTAGGTTTGACCCAGATTAGAATGTCAGAGCTCTAATCTCTGGTATTATTTCTTTTTAAAATGCCTTAATACTGCATTATAGTTTTTCTCTAAATGTTTTCTTTTCACCCATCAAATTCTTATGAGGTGTAAGAAGCAGTTACTTCCTAAACATGTCTATTCGCTGCAGTATCTGTATCATTAAGAGTATTTAACAAAACTACATAAAAACTTGCACGCGATGTGAAGACATTTTGATTATACCCAAATAAAATCTAAGAAATAAACCAGATAGGTCAGAGTTGAATTAAGAAACAATTTAAAGCATTTATGTTATTAATGATCAAAACTGAAACAGCTTCAAAGCTGTCATCTAAACTTATTGGGCATTACTGGTAAGGGCAGGGCCGGATTTAGGAAATCTGGGGCCCCAGGCAAAAACAGGCCTGGGGCCCTCTGAATCGAGAAGACAACACATAAAACAGACCTATTATACAGATACAGACATTTTAATAGAATAGACATAAATTATTTTTTCTATGTTTTGTCCCTCCCTTCTTTTCTTGTTGTTTTCCTCTCTATGTTTTGTACTCATCTGACTTTTCATGCTGTCTCAAAAGAATAAAAGATTTTTTCCAAGCACTAAGCTCACTTAGCTGATTGCTCCTTCCTGTGTTTCCAAAAAGGCCAAAGTAAATAACCCAGTCCTTCTTTTCACTGTAGACAAGCCATGATCTGCTTATCTGTCTCCATTTTTCATTTGGATGAAATAATAGCTGCATGAATCATGACAGCAGACAAGATAGAGGAGAGTAGGAGGCGGGGTTACCAATCTACTTGCTCTGGAGAGCAGAGTTTGCTGCTTTTATGCATTGTTGCCAAAGTCTCCACTAGCAGAAAAAGTCGCTAGATTTGGTGCTAGGAGCTTTTTTTGAAATAAAAGTACTAGAGGGGTCTGAAAAGTCCCAAAATATAGCAACAAAAGCGCTAAGTTGGCAACACTGCCCTTCGCGCCATTTGTTTTAGAAATGGTTTGCAGTTGGCTGTTTGGAGCTTTCTGAACATGTGCAGCAAATGGACTGATCCAATGTTATGGACATGCAGGTGAAGTCTCCTTTGGAAGACAAGCAACAATCCAATCAGGATCTATCGATAATGGCAGATGTCTCAAACAATCCCAGGGATGATTAAAAACTTTTCACCAGTCTTCTCTGGTCTATCTTCTCATGATGGTCTGATGTAGTTGGTGCCGCCTTTTACAGTTGTCTTTTGTATCTCTGCTTCTGTCTCCTTGAACCCCAGTCGGCCTCAGCAGATGGCCGCTCACACTGAGCCTGGTTCTGCTGGAGGTTTATTCCTGTTAAAATTGAGTTTTTCCTCTCCACTGTCGCTACAAGCATGCTTAGTGTGAGGGATTGCCTTCAAGTCAATGAGTCGATGCAATCAACTGGTTTTTCTTAGAAAACTTTGAATCAATTTCACTGTATGATCTGGTGAACTGTAAAGAGGCTTGAGATAACGTGTTGTGAATTGGCGCTATATCAATAAACTGGATTGAATTGAATGTATGGAGGTCATTTTTTTTATGTATTTAGCATTTATTTAACATGATGGTCCCATTCAGATTCAAAGTCTTTTTTAATTAAGTATGC